TGTGTGTGTGTGCGTGTTTCTTGTGTAAGCTGAAAGACGCGAAAAATTATTGAAATATCTATTGCTCCAAGGGTTCAGGGGATCTCGTAGTCGAGCAGTCTCGACTAGAGCTTTCTAACTTGTTTTTAACCTTGTTTTTGTCCCGGTCTCTCAATGTTCTAGGTATGGAACTGATCATACTTTCGAATATTAATCATTTTTAAATTACTAAAAAAAAATGCATTCGATTCATTTTTAAATATGTATATAATTTTAATTATGATTGATTTGTAGTATTGCTAATATTCAATTGCGAGTTTCGTATTTTACTTTCATATATTTGGTCATTATGGTAGTAATCTAAAAATGACCCATAAGATGATTCAAGTGCTGATTCATGCTGCTCTGAAGCATTCTCTGAGATTATTTTTCGTACAAGTGTGTCATCTTTTCCAAAGTCGTTTTGGAAGTAAGCATGAGTCAAGTTGTCTAAGTTAACAACATTTAGGTTTTGGTTCGGGTTTTCGATCATGTCGATTCCATTTTTCTTACAGAAATCTAATACCCATGCAACTACAAAAAAACATGCAGCATTCATGGGAAACGCTCGTACTAATGTTGAATTTAGTCCCCGGAAAAAAAACGGGATGCCTTCTTTTTTATAATTGTTTATTGCACAGTCCACGAACCCATTATATTTAGCTCGTTTTCCCAGGGCATCTGATTGCATATGTGTTTTGACGACATCAATGGGATAACAGGCTAACCAGGATGCCATGCCAGCACAGCCCCCTGCTACTAGCACATACGGTACACTCGGCTTCTCCTTGAGTTGCATCAAAAATTCATATGAAACAAAGTAACTGGCAAAGCCTACAAATATCATTGACACTAATATCTTATTTTTTATAAAGAATGTTTATGGCGTTTACCTGGTATATCTCTTAGTATAGTGGCCCAAAGTCCCTTAAACGTTCCTCGGATACCTTCAGTTTTTTGAACGTATAATAGACAATCGATGGGTCCCTTAAATTTGGGTTGGTTATCAATATACTTCGACAGCTGTAATCGTGTTTTCGCCAACTCCATGGGCGCACATATGAAGCTTTGCGCTATACCGGCCATTACTCCAGCGTTGAAGTGTGTCATCAAGGAATTTGGATTTTCAGATAATTTTTGTACATTGCCATAAACTCCAAATACTATCGCGTTAACCAGACCGATACCCATCATCGGACTGGAAATTCCACGGTATAGACCACGAATATTATCTACTAGTAAAATTGTTTTCATACAATGAAGTGTTCCTTTATATTTTGGATTCTTTGGGTCATCAGTTTGCAAGTGAACTTTTACTGTATCGAATGGGTGTCCAACAAGTACACCTGCGGCACCTAAAATTTTGTATGGCTTTTAATTTAACGAAAACTACCAAGTTTTGCTCAGCTAAATAAAATTAGAAAGTCTTAAATAATGAAAAATGTCGAGGGTATCGAATTTGTTTCCTTATCCTTTTTATCTTGGGACAGGACGGTTGGAAATTAGTTTTTTAATAAACGGAATAAACGGAATATCTATGGTGATCGATTGACGAAAAATTACATTCAAAAGTGATTTTAACAAAAAGTTATATTTTATCCTTTTTATTTGAATTTAGAGCAATGGGTAAAAGGCATAGCTCGCAAATAACTGTTAGCACTTTTTCGTTGTCTGCAAAAAAGTGTCTTTCACTGACACAGTCTAAAAACCTCAGACAGAAACTGTTTTTGTCGCGTCTGGCTTAGCTC